TCAGTCAGTCAGTCAGTCAGTCAGTCAGTCAGTCATTCATTCATTTATTCATTCAGTCATTAATTAATTAATTAATTAATTCATTCATTCGTTCTGAGTCATTCAGTCATTAATTCATAAAGTCATTAATTCATTCATTTATTCATTCAGTCATTAATTAATTAATTCATTCATTCATTCTGTCATTAATTCGTTCATTCAGTCATTAATTCATTCATTAAGTTATTCATTCATTTATTCATTCGTTAATTCATTAATTAATTCAGTCATTCATTCAGTCATTCATTCATTTATTCATTCGTTCAGTCATTCAGTCATTAATTCATTTATTAAGTCATTCATTCATTCATTAATTAATTCATTCATTCTGTCGTTCATTCGTTCATTCAGTCATTAATTCAGTCATTCATTCAGTCATTCATTCAGTCATTAATTAATTAATTCATTCTGTCGTTCATTCGTTCATTCAGTCATTAATTAATTCATTCATTCTGTCGTTCATTCAGTCATTAATTCAGTCATTCATTAAGTCATTCATTCAGTCATTCATTCATTTATTCATTCAGTCATTAATTAATTAATTCATTCATTCATTCGTTCTGAGTCATTCAGTCATTAATTCATAAAGTCATTAATTCATTCATTTATTCATTCAGTCATTAATTAATTAATTAATTCATTCATTCATTCAGTCATTAATTAATTCAGTCATTAATTAATTAAGTCATTCATTCATTCATTCATTCAGTCATTAATTCATTGTCATTAATTAATTAATTAATTAATTCATTCATTTATTCCGTCATTCATTCATTCATCAACTCTTTCAGCTTCATTCACAGCAAGTCCAGATTTGCCCAGTTCTCACTACTTAACCTAGCTGTATTTTGTTTTTATAAAAAAAAAATAATAATAATAATATAAAAAAATCAATTACAATTTTGAATATGTCTGTATAGCTTTTATTAATTTCTATTTCAGTTTTACCTATTTTAGTAAGTTTTAATCCCCCCCCTTATAATCTTTATATATTTCGTATTTTATATTATATTTTAGTCATTTTAAGTACAAAGTGACTGAATCTCATCAAGGAAATATTGAAGAGAAGTTGATAAAAGTTCAAAAAGCAAGACGTCTGAACTGCATTTAAGTGAACATTACAAACGGTGGCGCTCATGCTCTCATGTAACAGATGTATTTCTCTTCTTCTCAAGGCCACGTTCAAGGGCTGGATGGAGATCATGTACGCCGCGGTCGACTCACGATCTGTGAGTAAACCGTTTTGAGCTCATTAAACCAGATTGAAACCATATGAACGTATCGTTTGCTAATCTGAGCGTCTCTGATCTACTGGAACAGGTGGAAGAGCAGCCCATTAAAGAGAACAGCCTGTACATGTACCTGTACTTCGTCATCTTCATCATCTTCGGCTCCTTCTTCACGCTCAATCTCTTCATCGGTGTCATCATTGACAATTTCAACCAACAGAAGCGAAAGATACGTATTAAACCCAGCAGAATAACAAGCATGAAGCGTGTGGATGCGATGGTGACGGTAATAATAACAGAAGAGTTTCTCTGTACTTAGGAGGACAGGACATCTTCATGACAGAAGAACAGAAGAAATATTACAACGCCATGAAGAAACTGGGATCCAAGAAACCTCAGAAACCCATCCCAAGACCTACTGTGAGTATTCAATGGGTTTTGATCAAAATGAGCCAATAACATCTCATTAAATCAGTTTGATTTTGTTTTCTTCTCAGAACTCGATCCAAGGATTCTTCTTCGACTTGGTGTCCAAACAAGCCTTTGACATCATCATAATGCTGCTGATCATCCTCAACATGGTGACGATGATGGTGGAGACGGACGAGCAGTCTCCCAGCATCGAGTATATACTCTACTACATCAACCTGGCCTTCATCGTCATCTTCACCACCGAGTGCATCATCAAGCTCATCGCGCTGCGCTGCTACTTCTTCACCGTCAGCTGGAACATCTTCGACTTTGTGGTTGTCATCCTCTCCATTGTGGGTAAGGGGTTAATACTATAATATTAAATAAATAATTACATGAATAATATTAAATAATAATAAAATGTATTTTAATATATTTTATTATTTTTAATAACTATTAATATTTTTATACATTGTTCATGTCACCCATACTTGTTCAACTTAAAAAGTTAAAAATAATAATTTAAATATTGTTTTTACAGTCTAACATTTTTAATTAATAATAATAATTATATGTATATATATAATTTTTTTTTTTTAAATGAATAAATAAAATGTAATAAAAATGTCTTAAAAAATTAATTGAATTGATTTTTCTTTTTCTATTTATTTAATTATGTTTAATACAAGTGTAACATTTTTCATACCACCCACCTCTTTTGTTCAAAATAATTAATTAATATTATAAATAAAATAATTTAAAACAAATGTAAAGTATTATACTCTTATACACATTTTATCTGCATGAGGCAGCCAGTTCTATTCTCGTAGATTAAACGGTGTAATATCTCTCTTTGTAAGATACAGTAGCTTTACCGTGTGGCCTTGGCATTACACATCAAAGTCTAAAGACTTTCAATGCAATTTTGTAGCACTTCACCTACTAATAAATAGACAGCCGGTGCTTCAGTGACACAGAGAGGCGATTTTAAGAATAAACCCTGATGAGAGAACGAGGAAGGCCAGAGGGGTTAACAGGTGCAGAGAGTCCCGGAGAAAAGGGGAGATCGTTAAGGAGAAGGTAATTTGGGCAATCAGGGCTGTCAGCTCAGGGGATCGGTCAGTGATTGAGCTCTCAGTCCGAGCTAAAAGCTTGACGTGGTTTCGTGCCGTCTGTATCTCCACAGGGTTAAACGCTTAAAGACACACCGTCGCAAATGTAAAAACCAGCCATTTAACTCTTAAGTGGCACAGACTCTTCAATAAATCACGGCTGGTTATTGGTCTAGTGGAAGTGTGGCGTCTGGATTCTGGTGGTCATGGACTGCAAATGAATAGTTCGTGTTTTTCTCGAACCCACATGCTGTTTTTCATGCAAAGCAAAAAGTATCTTCTCACAATTCTTTTCCATGCAACAAATGTTTCTCAGCTCTCAAAAGCAACTCCAGTATTTGATATTCCTGATGCGTATTGTTAGGATGACAAAAAATATGATACAATGTCAAAATGATTGATACAGCATTGAATCAAAGAAGGTAAGCGCAAATAAATTTTCAGCACGACGCTTCAGTTTTAACAGTGAAGAGGTAAAGTTGCTAAACGTTTATTGTTTTTAGTAAAACGATAACATCCAGCGATCAAATTGTGTCAAATTTTACTGTATTGAATTGAAAATTCAGGCTATCATTTACATGATTCATGTAATTTGTAACACAGTTTTTTCAGTATTATTGTATTAGTATCATTATCATAGTTTATATTAATATTTTGAATTAGATTTTGCGTTTTTTTTTATATGCCAATATATGCATCTAAATATATATATATATATTCGTGCTATCAAATGATTAATCGCATCTAAAATAAGTTATTGTTTATATAATATATGCATGTGTACTGTGTATATTTATTATGTATATATAAATACACACACACATGCATGTATATATTTTGAAAATATTTCCATGTATTTTCATGCATATATTTATATTCATATAATTTATAGTATATAAAGATATTATAATATATAAAATAATAGTTTTCTTAAAATTTTAAAAAAGACTGAATTTGCATTTTCTTGTAAAACATGCTGCAATAAACTTGTTTTATTTACAACTTTTAAAAATAATCATGTTGAAGTACAGATTCAGTGTGAAACACACACTCACTCACTTACTCACACACACACACACACACACACAAACATATATAATTAAAAATTTAATAAAACAAATGAAAATGAGAAATTTTTCTTTGGCAACTGAAAATGAATTTAAGTACTATAATTACTAAACCCTAAAATTACATCAAAAATTCAAGCGCAAAAAAAAAACCCTATAATATTTTATATTGATAATTTAATAAATAAAAAAAATGTAATAAATAAAATGAATAAAATAATACTAAAATAACATCAACCAGCACAATATTTATTTGGAAATAAGGATCACAATAATTTTTGGAAAATAACACAATAATAACTCAAACTAAAACCATAGAAAAAAAATAATTACTTGAAAAAATAAAATAAAAAATATATTTTATTTATAAATATACTTTAAAGTAAAACTAAAAACTTTACTTGAAATAAAAGAAAAATTACATTTATTATATTTCAACTAGTTGCCAAGTCAGCATTTCTCATTTTCATTTAGTTTAAATACTAAAATAACTAAAACTAAATACAACCATAGAGACCATAATTCATTAATAATAATAATAACTACTATATATATATATATATATAATTACAAATATTAACTATTCTAACATTTACCAAAAACTACAATAATAATATTCCAATGATATAAAATAACACTGATGTTAGAGAGGCTGATATTGTGCTGTTCGACACGAAATCAAAGACATATTGACATTCAGAGGAAAAAATAATGCATGGCAAAAAATGCAGTTTTTCTCACTGTTTTCACTGTAGCTTGGAGTTTCTTGCTGTCTGCACTCTTCTCTTCTGAGTGCTCGTCTGTCTCGCGCTGATGAGGATGTTATTGATGCTTTCATGGCTCAGCTATGTGCTGTAATGTACTCAATACTGTTAGCGTGAGAGATATCATGAGACTCAGGCTGTTTATTCCATCTAACAGGACTGATATGATTGGCACTCCATCCATAAAAGCAGAAATGGGAAACCCGGAGAATTGAGTCACTTGAAAGCAACATTCCCAGCGGCCTGCATGCGCTCTGCCTCAAATCTCACGGTTTATCTGCAACATGTCACGCTGACAACCCAACCGAAAAGTGCTACTGTACTACCATGCTTTTTGGTCATTTAGCAGATGCTCAAGTTTGCTCCGAGCTTATTTTTTTACTTTTTTTTGCCATTTTTGTGCAACGTGCATTAGATGCGGGACGTGTCATCTGAGGCTTTTAACAGAAAAATAGATTATTTTGTAAGGAATCATCAAAACTATTAATCAATACAGTCTACAATGACAGTCAAGGCTAAGTGCACATTTACAAATGAAAGTTTCTGGACTTTCTGGAAGTGTAACGTCACATTTTAAAGCATCTAAAAGCCTAAGAAAAGTTATTTGTTCCAAAAATGAAATAAAAGCCATCAAAGAGCATTCAGCAGGACATGAGGGACAGTCTCATCTGCTCATTTCTGAAGAAAATGTTCTGATGTAATGCATTTATGCATTAATTTAATATTTAAAAAATATTTTTACATATATTATAATTAATCTTTATTTCATATTTAATATAATTTAAATAATAATATTAATAAAGCAACCAAAAGCCTGAATGCGGCAGAGAAAATATCACATATAATGTCGAAATATTAAATAATAATAAATAATGCTGCTATAATACATTTAATGAACAATATATATATAAATATATATATATATACAAATAATATATATATATATATAATGATAATATTTAATGATAATTTTCACTTTATGCAGAAAAACTTTTTGTGAATGTGGCAGAGAAAACTTCAATAAAATAAAATAATAATAAATAATGCCGATATACATTTAATTAACAATATATATATTTTTTTTTTTAAAGTTTGGGATCAGTAAGATTTATCTCTAAGAGAGATAAGTCTCTTATGCTCATTAAGGCTGCATTTATTATATATCAAAAATACAGTAACATTACATACAGTAAAAATACAGTAATAATGTGAAATATTTTTACAATTTAAAATGACAGTTTTCTATTTTAATATACTTTAAAATATCCTTTATTCCTGAGCCATGAATTATTTTTAATTTTTTGGAACTTGTGATACCATATATTATATAATAAATGTTAATGTAATTAATATTTTAATATAATTTTAAAAAATGATATAAATTTAAATGAATTTAAATAATATTATTAAAGCATCTAAAAGCCTGAATGTGGCAGAGAAAACATCTGTGTCCCCAAAATGAAATGAAAGTCATCTAAGAGCATTTATCGGCGGAAGTGAGAGGGACAGATGGAGGAAGCTGAAGTCTCATCTGGCCTTCAGTCATGGCTGCTCTCAAACGGGTCCTTCCCATGAGCACAGGAAATGGACAGCACTGCATTACAGGATGAGTGTGTGTATGTGATGATGTTTAAAGTTTATCGATGCTTTAGTAATGCAAAGCCCTGTTTATCATGCCAGGAGAACAGCTCTGAACGCTCCAGAACAAAACAAGGCCTTACATGAAGAGCACATCAAAATCAAGATTTAAATGTGCATACAAAATGTTTTCTGCATAAAGTGAAAATTATCATTAAATATGATCATTTCATCATATATTTTAACTTTCGACGTAGCCTACGCTCACTCGCACCCTCCCGGCTATCTGCTATGGTTTCATCTTTGCTTCCTTCCCCTGAACAGTTATCATCTCTTGATGTTAACAGTGCTACTGATACTTTCTGCTCCACTCTTACGTCTTGTTTAGACACTGTCTGCCCCTTGTCTTCCAGGCCAGCTCGTACCACCTCTTCTGCCCCGTGGCTATCTGATGTTCTCTGTGAGCACCGTTCTAAGCTCAGAGCTGCTGAGAGGGTGTGGCGCAAATCCAAAAATCCTACTGACCTTAATGTATATCGATCACTCCTCTCTTCCTTCTCTGCTAATGCCTCCACTGCTAAAGGGACATACTATCATAGCAAAATTAACAATTCGTCTAACTCTCGCATTGCAAAAACACTTGAACGAGTTGTGTTCAACCAAGTCTCAGCCTTTCTCACACAGAACAACCTCCTGGACAACAACCAATCTGGCTTCAGAAGTGGACATTCGACCGAGACTGCCTTGCTCTCAGTTGTTGAAGCCCTAAGACTGACAAGAGCGGCTTCAAAATCTTATATACTTATTTTGCTGGATCTGTCCGCTGCTTTTGATACGGTGAACCACCAGATTCTCCTGTTAAACCTATTGGAAAATGGCAGCTCAGGAACCGCACGCCAGTGGTTTGAGTCTTATTTCTCAGATAGGAGCTTCAAAGTATCCAACTCAATCCCAGCAGCTGAGTCCTTAACCATCTTCAAGAATCAGCTAAAAACACATCTCTTCCATCTTTATTTGACCCGCTAACTCTAGCACTCGCTATTCTAATTCTATTCTGTAGACTTGCTGCTTGTTTTCTTAAAAAATAAAATAAAAAAACTAACACTTGCTTTCTAATCTTTTTGTATTCTGTTTTCTTTTCATTTATTATATAATTAACAAAAGCTAAAAAGCCTCAAACACTAGCTTGCTCTATTCTCTTTCTATTCTATCTGTTTTCTTTTTATTTATTATATTATTTAAAAAAAAAAACCTTGCTACGTGTACTGCGTTAAGCTAACTGAGACTTGTTCTAGCACTTGCTTATTATTGCTCTTTTGTTGATTTAGATTGCTTCTATTGTCCTCATTTGTAAGTCGCTTCGGATAAAAGTGTCTGCTAAATGACTAAATCTAATGTGAGTATATATATATATTGAGTTATTTTGACTAGGTTAAAAAACAAAACAAAAAAACAGCTAACTAACAATAAAAACATGATAACATAGTAAAAAAACATGATTTTTGAACATAAAAGAGTTCTGTTTTTGCAAATAAACTATTCATATATATATATATATATATATATAAATAGTAATATCAATAAAATATGTAATTACATATAATTTAATATTTCATTTTATTATTATTATTATTACATATTGATTTGATGTTAATTTGTTAATTCGGTCGAAATGGAAATATTCTAATTTTTT